TCTCTCTCTCTCTCTCTCTCTCTCTCTCTCTCTCTCTCTCTCCTTCTCCTCATCCCCCCCCCAGCCTTCCCCTCTCGCTTTCTCTCTCCTCCCTTCCACCATCCTTTTCACATCGCTGTATCTGCTTGCCTCGTCCGTGCCCATACACATGGACAGGGTTTATTACATTTTTCTATTCTAAATCCAAGGCCACGTTCGATAAAATGCGTTGGTGGTTGGCGAGTGCTTTGGTGTGGTTTGCTCCTACTTCCCTGTAAAAATTATATGTGAGGTAGCTTGGTGAAATCGGGCGCTCGTCAAAATAACGAAAGAGGAGAAACTAGGTTTTCTCCGCAGATTGGACAATTTTTATCAATTGTCTTATTTTCGGCTCAACCCCTTTTATGCCCATTAAAAAACACATTTCCATGTAGATTTTACTGGAAAACATTGACTAAATACATGAAAGATGTAAATTTTCAGTTTACACTTGCTCTCAAGCTAAGGAAATAACGAAACTTTGGCCGCCATTTTTTCGCTAATTTTACCTCTGAAACCAGGCAACCCCACTTCCTTCAATCGCCAATTTCTCGACTTGTATCCAAGATAAATGGGTATTTTTTTCATTGAAAGGGAGGTAAATGGACAGGCTTTAAGATGATACCAACAACTCCGTATGCCCAAATAACTGACGAGCGCCTGATTCTACCACGTCGTGTCACATAATATGATTCTTATCTCTCTCCTTCTTCTCAGTGTATATTACTCTCCCGTAACACCTCTCAAATCTTCGGCGCCTATATGGTCTATTTAGGGTGAAAGTGCTGTAAAACTCTTACTAAAACTTAAACTCCAAACTAAGCACAAAATAATTCTGTAACACAAAAGCTTTCTATAAGTGTATGTGCTGCACTTGGTTCTGCTTAGCTATGCATTTCGCGGTATCGATTTCTTTTTTCATATTGGTGCAAATGTATAGAAAGAGGTACAAAAGAATCGGTTACACCATTGTGGCAGGTCCGTTTTTTTATACGTGTCAATGCAGTTGATAGTGTTTTTTCATTATTTTTTTGTTAGTATTTTACGGTGCTCGCAACTGTGTCAGGCCATATGAGTCCGCGGGACACATTAAACATTTTTTTCTGTTTCGTAGGAATTAATTCTGAATTCTGCCTGGGTGGTGGTTGAAGCCTATTCTTTAACGTGTGCAACGTGCACACGGGATCTCCGAGATTTTTAAAAATCCTTATACGAGAAGGCTAGGTGTTAGATCGTACCTACCCTGAGATTAGGGGTGTGGCTGAAAGACAAGCAGCAGTAAGAAGGAGCTAAAGAGTAGCAGTAGAAAGGTTGCAGAAAGAGTCAGGAGCTCAGAAGGAGAGGGGGGAGGGGGGAGACGAAAGTAGACAAAAGAACATGATTA